GCATGTGGTGGTACATGCCTGTAATACCAGCACTGAGCAGCTGAGCCAGGAGTATCACAAGTCTGAGCCCACCCTGGACAATCTAGTGACAGCTTGTCTTAAAAAATAAAAGTGAACTGGGGATGTCACTCTGGGGGAAGGCCCTGGGTTCAATCCCTAACACACACACACACACACAGATTATTATACACGAGAACCAAAGGAACTACAATTTTTTTTTTTTCTTTTTGAAGACAGGGTCTCACTACGTAGTTCAGAATGGCCTCAAACTTGCTACATAGCCCTGACTGGCCTCAAATTTTTTGCAGTCCTCCTCCTTCAGCCTCCAGAATGCTGGGATTACAGGCATGTGCCACCACACATGGCCTGCAATCTAATTTTGATCTATCGGTTAAGCCAGTGATCTAAATAAAATTTTCACTCCTAAAGCTTGTTCACCGATATTTATTATTTTTCATGTTATTACAATGGTAACGTTTTTATCACCACGACTCCAGTGTTGCCCCAAGCTCCCAGAAGATTCTCTATGTTATGTGTAACCCCTGAAGTTCCCTGCGCTGGTCTATACCAGGAAAACCCTACAGATTAGGATCACCTCCTTCTGGATGAGTATTAATCAGGCATTTACTGTGAATGCATTTGATAGCTTGGAACACATAAAACACGAAAGTATAAAATATGGTCTCCATCTTTAAAATGACAATTTTAAAATGACAATTTTAGACCGACTGAAAAGGCCACAAATAACAATTACTAGAGACAAGGAACCAGTCACAATACTGAATGCTCGGAGCTAATCCACCAAAAAGCGGCAGGAAATGCTATGATCTTTTCCATTAATATAGCTTTGGGAAACTAGTTTTGTGTTCAACTGCAATTTTCTGAAAGGCCACTAGATGGTGATACTGCTTTTTAAAAGGTGTGTGGGGAGCGTGGTGGATGTAAATTACTGTTAATAACCTCAAGATCCCTTAGCCCTTGCCTCTCCTTGCTGGATCATCGTACAGAAATACTGTAGACTCTACTTTTGTGGTGCTGGACATTGTACCCAGGACCTTCAGCATGCTAGCAAAAGCTCTCTCTCACTGAGCTATATACCCTCCAGGCCAAAATTTGGGCAAGATTTAAAAATCCCTCACCTTAAAGTTGAGAATAATGAATTCAGAGAGGTTAAATAAGTTCACCAAGATTCCACAACTGGTTTATAAAATAATGCTAGGACTAGAGCCAAAGTTTCCTGATTACACTATGGGTTTCATGTTCTTTGATTTGGAAAAGTACATGGGGTTAATTGCAATTTATGTGGAAAATAGTTTCAAACAGGCAATTCACAAAGAGAGACTCCATCCTTTGGTAAAGCAGTAGACCAATGACTAAAATAGAAACTTAGAAGAGGGAAATACTGTGGCTCAAAATCTCAGAAAAGTTGTACTTGGATACTGAAAGATCAACAGATAATAAAAGTTCTGTAGTTCCCAGTGTAAACAGGATGAAGGATGAATAATGATGCTCAAAATGAGAAAATGACAACTTTACAACATCATTCCTGTCCCTCTTCCAACTCTAATCCATTTTTCTCTCTTCCTTTTGTAACCCATGACAGAGTAAAGATCTGCAATGATCACAGATCCCAGAGTACAAAATGAAATTCCACTGTTTTTCTCACATGCATAAAAAAGCATGTCCAAAATCAGATGAGCAAGAAAGATATAGTTAACATTACAATAATAACCTGAAATCTGCTCTACTTTGAAACAAAAAATATTTAATTCTTGAACACTTCAATAATATTCTATCTATAGAAACTATGTAGAAAATACTTCAGAGATTTAAAATTTGCATGGCTATATTACTGCAAAGTTTTATCTTCCCTTTGGCTTATAATAACAGTAGAAATGCAAACTAAAAACTATATACTATATATTTCAAGATATACCTAAAGTTTGAAGAAATACAGTAATTCTGTAAAGGCACACTGACTTAAAAATCAATGTTATTAAAATTCACTAGAATAAAACATATTTCAAAGGTATTATTTTTATTATTATAATTAACTGTATAAAGGGGCTTCACCATGGTATTTTCATACATGCATACATCACACTATAATCGTCTCCATCCTCCCTACTACTCTCTCTTGCCTTCCCTTCACCCTCCCTCACCCACACTGTCCCACCCTCTGATGCTCTTGTCCTTCCATAATAGCAGTATTCCTACTTTTGGGGTTTTTTTTAAAGTTTCCACACATGGGCATTTTATAATACTAAGCAAATTTCTCCAACGAATTTTAAAGACATCAGAATTATTCTAATCCAGAGAAGGGGAGTTTAAAGGAATATATATACAGACCCCTTGAGAATAGGACGATATTTGCTTATGAGACAAATAATACACCAAGGTTTTCTCTTATAAATTTGACTGAGCAGAAAAATTCAGTATACTTTACCTGAAGATGCAAAGTTATGAGATTTTATATGTCCTGCTTTTCTAAACTCAAAATTTCTACATCAATCCAGCAGGGCAACGGAGACCATGGCCCAGTGAACTGCCACATCTCTGACACTCCACTGGAACCCAACACTGCATTTTAAAATGAAAATCAATGGGAAAATGGAGTTTGATATATACAAGATGGCTTTTCAGTAAATTTTTCTGCAACATATCTATTCCAAATGTGCATGAATATCTGCATAAAAAGAACTTATTAGATGGAAATAGTAATTACGTGTTGCTCTTCTATGAAACCTATCATGAAAATAAGAAAGAAATTTATATTCAAGTATGACAGACATATATTTGTATTAAGAATAATCTAACTACGGTGAGATCTCAATCGATTGCAATAAGTTAAGCAAATAGAAACCAGAATCCTCCCAAAAGAATGGCCAAAGATATTTAGTCATTTGAAAAAAATGTCATTCAAGTGAAGTTTTAGATGAAGTGCACATTAAGTTTTTCCTTCAATTTCTGCTAAGGGGCATTACAATACAGTAGAAAGCCTTAAACTATGTATTTTTGCCTGTATCAACTATTTTTTATTTTTAAAGTTATTTAATCCTTCACAACAGCAAAGATATGGGACCAATATCAAGTGTCCACCACCAGATGAACAGATGAAGAAAATGTAGTATATATGCACAATGGAATACTATTCTACCTTTTTTTTTAAAAGGCAGGAAACGTAACTATGTATGACAACATGGATGAAACTGAAGGACATGTCAAGAGAAATAAGCTAGGCACCAGAAAGCAAAAACCACACAATCTCACTTATACGTAGAAGCTAAAAGAGCTGAACTCAGGGAAGTTCAGTGGCAGTGGCCATGGGCTATGGCTGGGACCAGTGATGGGCAGAGAATAAAACTTCTCAGTTTAACAGGAGGAATAAGTTCAAGAGATCTTTTGTACAGTATAGTAAACACAGTAACAATGTATTATATTTTTGAAAACTGCTAAGAGTACATTTTGAGTATTCTCAACACACACAAACTGAATAGATGTTTTAATTATAATTAGCTCAAGTTAGGCATTCCATAATGTATACATTTTTCAGAACAACATGAACACAATAAACACATACAATTTTTATATGCCAGTTAAAAATAAATTTAAATGAAAGGAAAAACTCAGTCCTACTGGGTCTCTGTTTTCTAAAATACAAATGAGGTATATATATAGCCTCTTAGGCTCTTGAATAATTTTAAACTTTCACAAAAATACAACCACACAATCCATTCTTAAAATATTAATTGTAAGTGTAATAGGTAAAATTAAAAAAAAAAAAAACAGAGTACCTCTGCTACAGTATGTACAGTGCTCACTTCGGTAGCACATGTACTTTAACTGATACAGTAGGTATAAAGGACTAGAACCCTGTCAGTCAAAGCACTGTTCACACTACTTTCTCATGGGTTTCATGGAATCTGCATAGGTCCCAAACATGGTATTTGAAAACCTTGCCTCTAGAACAACAAATAATGGAAAGAATTCTCAAAGTGATTTTTCACTTTGAAAAATGCAAACTGAAGAAGTTTTATTTCAACTAATGGGAAGATTCACTGAAAGCAAACATGTAAGAATTCCAATCAAGTGGCATTTCATTGTTAAGGTGGATACTGAAGACAGGATTGCCATAATTTTAAATAAAAATATATAAATATAGCTGGTATGTATTTTGAGATATAAATATAAAAAAGCAGGAAAAGGAATGGGTTATGATTAGAGATTTAAACCCAATTATCTGTACAATGTATTTATGTAAAGTCCACTTTCACAAAATATTTAATCTTGAAATTCATTATTAGCTCTAATAAACAAGTTGTATTTCACTACTACCAGGCACAAGGGAGCCAAGTCAGATACATACAACTTTAGCCAAAAGAAGCTCCATCCTTTTCACTTATTCAATGAACTTCCTCAAGTTCCTGGGAGCCAAACACAATCACACACACACATGTAGATAGAACTATATCCCCTCAAAGTCTAAAATAATAATAAAACAAACTTTATAAACTTTTGAGCTTGGGGGTATAGCTCCACAGTAGAGAATACACCTAGCATGCATGAAGCCCTGCATTTGATCCCCAGCAGCACAAAAGGGGAAGAGGGGACCCACAAAGTTTTAAGCCTTAAATATGTAATTCAGAAAGTACACACTAATATTTTTTTACCCGACAAAAAACTAAGAACAGCTTAGTATCTGGATCTGCATCAGAAATTGAACTATGAATTTAAAAAGTTCTTAAATTCACTTCAGTCATATCTAAAGCTGCATATATTAACAGAATTTGCATTTACCTGTAAGTTAAAAAATCAATTATTTTATAATTGAATACTTAAAATTTTGTAATTAAAATACCGATAATGGTACAAAAGCTCACTATTTTCTTTAGCCAGGAAGCATAAGAATCTTTTAAAAAAAACTATCAATGAGATATTCAAAGTACACCTTCTAAAACAGAACTCTAATGTCTACAATATTCATTTGAAAATACTCTTACCTTTCTTCTGAGCTATATAATCGAGCAAGTCCAAAATCTGCAAGTTTTATCTGCCCTCTGGTGGAAATAAAGATAAAATGAACAAAAGCTGGCAATAACTTTGAACTGATAACACATTCATATTTTATTTTTACAACTCATCAAAAATATACTCACACTGCAGTACTACCAAGGTTTACAGGAAAAGTCAAGATAAGTCATAAGATAATAATTAGTACTTCTCTTTGAATAGTCACCTAATCAGCCATCCTTATCTACAGGTTCTGAATCTGCAGGTTCAACTAACTGCATATCTAAAATATTTGGAAAAAGAGAACTGCATGTGTATAGAACATGTGTAGATGTTTTCTTTTCAAGAAGCCCTACACAATACAGACTACCAATGTTTATAGAACATTTACATTGTATCTGGTCTGCTAAGTAATTTAGAAATGCTTTGAAGTATATGAGAGGAATGGGCTGGGGATATAGTTCAGTGGCATAAGCGCCTGCTTGGCAAGTGCAAGGTCGTAAGTTCAGTCCCTGGTACCATAAATAAATAAATAAATAAATAGTATATGAGAGGAAACACTTGGTTATGTGCAAACATTATACCATTTTCTATTACTTGAACATACACAGGTTTTGGCAAAGGGAAACGGGGTTGTCCTGGAACCAATCCCCAAGGGATACTGAGAGACTACTACTATTACTACAATTATTACTATAAAAGTACTAATATAAGAGTACTTCAGGAACTGTTCAGTCTCTATTTTAAAGCATACTTCAATGAAAATAACATGTGACTATTTAGGAATAAGAAAAATTATTATATTCAAGTAAACAGTGTTCAAGAGCTAAGTCAAATCATTTAAAATTAGGTTTATTTCCAGCATTTGGAAGTATCAAGACTATAGAATATTTTCTACTCATTAAAATCAGAGCCAGGCAAGCCTCATTTAAACTAATACCAATTACCAGAGAAGTACCAGCCTTAGGGTTAAGCTATTACTGAAATGTTAAACATATTCTTCACACACATGTCAAAAACAGCTAACTTCAAAGCACTGATGACTTTTAATTCTAAAATTGATTCATAACTAAGCAGAATTCTTATTACTAATTATTATAAGACCCACTCATACTGCTTGGAAAACTATTAAACAGAAATGCCAACCAAGTTTATGTACATCACAAACTACTGCTGAAAGTTAACTTAACTGAAGTACATTTAACTCAGTTTTAGAGAAAGTCCAAAGCTGAGTATTTTTGCTTATACTGAAACAGTTTTGAAGCAATGAACTAAATTTTAATCCCTTTTAATAGAATCAAGATATATATTATACATTTTTTAATATAAAGATCAAGATGATATCCATACCTATTATTTAGAAGGATATTTGAACACTTAATATCTCTATGCAAAAAGTTCTTCTTATGACAATAATCTAGACCTTCCATAAGCTGTCTCATAAATGACTTGATGTGATTTTCATTAAAATGAACCAAGCCTGATTCCAGCAGTCCCATCAGGTCATGGTCCATGTACTCAAACACCAGATAAAATGCACCTAGGAATGAGAAGAAGTAACACATTAATGACTTATTCTTACCACTGTTCTACAGGTTTTACTTTTAAAAATAAACTAATGGGGAGGTTTAATGTTCAAAAGAAGTGCTACTTTGTCACCTAAAGGAATACTACTCACTTTTCTCTCAATGTTTAATATCAGTAGATACGTCCTAAGGAAAAGTCTTGTAAGGAAAATTGTCACAATAAAATTAAACTGCTGATATTCATACTGCATAGTTTCTGGGTATAGTGAATGTAAAATAAATTACTGTTTTAGACATCAAACTAATTATTCCTCAGCAAATGCTGACAAAAACCTGCACAGTTTGTAGAAGAAATTAAGAAGTTGTTAAAAGAACTGCTTTTAATAAAACAGAGCATGGCACCAGCTGTACTTCACATGACTCCTGTTGAGTTTCCAAAAAATATATAATTTAATTCTGTTTATCCACATCCAGAGTACTTGAAAACATAAAAATTACAACTGTATTTTATAAAACAAGTTTACCCGTTACAAAACTCCAAAACAGCATATAATATATTCGCAACCCTAAACTATACAACCATACTTACGAGATTTTAAAGATATTCATATACAAATTGAATCCAAAGGTCTATAAAAAAATATCTCAAGTTTCACTTAGCAATGAAGAATAGAAGAGCTAAGAAAACTCACTACATCTACCTGTGAAAAGACAAAACTCTGTAACACCATGACAAAAAGCCTGACCATGGTTCACCATCAATTCCGCATTAAAAATAGTATAACTCTTAGTAAACTTTCAATAGGATTATTTTTGAATGGTTTATTGTGAAATCTCTCCGAAAGCAACAAATGTTATATTTAAATAAGAAATACGCCAGGTGTTATATACAAGACAAAAACTTCATTATTACTTGGTCCAGAAGTAACTAAAGTTTAAGACAGCATATAAATACTGACAGACAAAAACATAACTGTCTAGGTTAGACAATATAAGTTACAAGAACCAGGTTAGAGAAAAATCAATATATAAAAAGCTAAAGGCTTCTTCAAATGTACATCAACAATTCACTAAAAAATAAAATTTAAATGATTCCCATTTTTAAAAAAGCTGCAAAAGAACATTAATGAATTTAACAGGAAATTATAAAAATCTCAATAAAAGGATCAATGATTATAGTTTTTCTCTTTTGTTTGAGGGAGGAACAATTTCACTTGAAGAAAAGAAACCAGTTTGCCAAGCCGCAACTTTCTAAGAAGAAACACTTGCCCCACTAGAAATTAACAGGACCATCATACTCAGAGTTACACCTCACAGTGGAAAATAATAAACACTAGAAAATAACTCCCAAGTATACACTCTCAATAATATGAATAGAGCCATCTTAAGTTGGTGAAGAAAGAACAGGCAAAATTGTATTTGGACAAATGTGTAACCTCACGGGTAGGCAGGCAGTAATATAAAAGTCAAAACCAGTAAGAACAATTAATAGATTTCACTAAATGAAAACTCGGAGGCATGTAACGAGACAGTATTAAGTGGAGGTAAAAGACAAATGACAAGCTGTATTTATAACATACAACATATTAATAGCCTTAATATAAAGAGGTCACTGCCAAGCACAGTGGCACACATCTGTAATCCCAGCACTCAGGAGCATTACCATGGGTTCAAGGCCAGTCTTGGCTACATAGTGAGTTCAAGGCCAGCCTGAACTACAAAGTAAAACCCTGTCCACATACATACATACACACACACACACACTAAATGGAGGCCATATAAACCAGTGCCAAAAAGACCAATCTTATATCAAAAAATGAGAAATAAAATGAACTCAATATGCAAAACAATGCTTATGTCCAAAAGACACATGAAAGTTACTCTTGCTATTAATCAAACATGCAAATCAAGACAACAATAAACCACTTATAACTAAAAAGAAAAGGAGCTGGAAAGATACTACATGTTGTTAATAAAAGTGTGAGGCTGACACATATTCACACCATACCAGCAGTAAATTGATAAAAATATAGTATTTAGAGGAACTTGGCAGTATGTACGAAAGCTTTAAAAATTGCACATGCTTTTATACAGCAACTGCACTTAGCAGAATGAAATCAAGATTGTAAGGATTTAGCTGTAAGCATGTTCACTTAAGCTTCTAGTAATAAAATCTAATAATAAAACATGGTGATTCATGCCTGTCATCACATAACTGTGAGAAGCTGAGGCAGGAATATCCCAACTTGGATAGTTGCCTGGGCAACTATCAACTTAGGGAGAGGATGGCTCAAAATGATGAATGAATGAATGAATGAATGAATGAATGAATGAATGAAGGCAGCCTGAGTTGTGTGAATGCTCTGGCTGAATCCTCAGAACCACAATATAACCACAAACATTTAAAACATTAAACACAGAAAAAGGTTATGCTGGTACATCTATACCATTCTAGAGCACTGACAAACACTGTAGAAGTACAATTGTTGGTATGTTCATGTACTGATGATGTTGAATGAAAGTAGTTTTACTGGTAGTATTATAGAACACAAACATTTAGAATCGCACAGTCCAATAAAGGAGCTACTAGCCACAAGTTGCTATTAAGTATTTAAAATAAGGTTAGTTTAAAAATGCTGTATGTGTAAACTACTGGATTTTGAAGACAGTATAAAATAAAAGAATATAAAATATCTCTTTGGCAATAGTTTACACTGATTACACAGTGAAATGAACTACTAGATATATTGGGTTAAATAAAGTATATACTGTTAAAATAAGTATCATCTCATTTTTCCCCCAAGGAGGTTATCAAAGTATTTTAAATTAAAATAGCATGGTTCACGTTCTGTCTGTATTAAACAAGACTGAATTACAGGTGTAAGAATGAAATAGGGGGCCAGGGATATAGCTCAGTGGCACAGAGACTGCCTGGCAAGCATGAGGTCCTGAACTTGATTCCCAGTACCAAGACAGGAAAAAAAAAAAAAAAAAAGAACTAGGACAGATAAAAAACTATCTCTAAATGCAGCGGTTTTTTGCTTTCTGAAACCATGAATATTCAATGAAAAACAGCATGGACAGTAACACAATTTAGAAAACTAGCACATACACTAATATGAAAGGTGAAACAGAAAAACACTCGAAGTATACAAAGCACTTCAATGATAAATTATAAAACACTCTTACGAACAGAAAAGTATACATGAACAAATAAATAGGAGAACTTTATAAGAAAAAGATGTTAATAAACCTATGTTAATTCATATATTAAACACAAGCCCCATTTACAAAATACCAGTAAGTTATCATACACTGTCTATCCAAACAGAAAATTAACTAGGTAGAAGAGTAATAAAAACACCTAAAAACAAAGGGAAATGGATACCAGCTCTACCACATACTTAGAAAGAATAAATTTTACAACTAAAAAGTGTGACACTGATAAAGAAACATGAAACAAAGACAAAATCCAGAAATATATTTCAAGCACATATGAAAATTTACTATATGATAAAGCATCATATCAACTCGGGGTGAAAAGATGGACTTAATTACTGGTACTGGGATAACTGAACATCCAGATACAACATCTACCAGCACAAAAAGGCAAATGAACCAATACACTCTAGAGCCATAAACATACATTTTTAAAAAACAAAACAGAATTCCTTAATAACCTGAGAGTGAGAAAAAAACTTTCCTAACTAGAAGTCAATACAAAGAAACAACTGGAGGAAAGACTGGTAAGTGTGACTGTGTAAAAGTTAAAAGTAGTATGTTCTATTATACAGTAATTTAAAAATAACAGATTTTTAAAACTACAAGCAGTTTAAAAATATTGCAAACTATATTCTTGCTGAATACTTATCCACCAAAATGGATGAAGGTAATTCATTTGCAATGTAAATTGCAGCTCATAATGTCCCCAAATTGAAAAGAAAAAAATCAAAAACAGAAAAGTGAGAAAAAGACAAATAGTTCACCAAAAATAGAGGCAAACTCCTCTTAAATTAACAGGAAGCTGCTCAACTTTGCTCTTCATAAAACTTATTTTTAAAACTAAATGTTCACCAACATGCTAAACTGACAAAGTATGACTACAGAATGTGTTGGCAAAGCTATAAGACACACTCTATTACATCAACAGGAAAAATACAAACATATAAACCTTATGGAGAAGAATTTGGCAATAATGAGCTAAATCATATTCAGCACTTTCCTTTGACTTAATTACCCCATTTCCGGGAACCTGTACCAAAAAAACTTTACTAGCAAAAATAAAAAAGGCTGCTTCCACCAGGCTATTCAGAGCCTCAATATTTTCAACAGCAAAAAACTGGAAACAAGGCAAATATCTATCAACAGGAAACTGGTGAATAAATAATGGCACATCCACACAGTGCAATATTACAGCCCTAAGAAGGGAAGAGGACGGCCTCTATCTACTGCTGTAGAGTGAATTTCAGGATATATGGTTCAATGAAAAGGGCAAGGCATAGAAGCATACTTAAAACACATTATATGTTATATAAAAAGCAGAAAGTCAGTACAGGATATAGAAAAGAAAACCTAAAGGATGAACCAAATACTTAAGAAAAACTGCCCATAGTAAGGGAAAGAACCAGAAAAAGTAAGGCATGGAACTCAAATCTACTCTGAATGTACCTATCTTCTAATTTTAACATTGGGATTATATGAATATCTTACATAGTGAAAATATACTGGAAAACTACAAAGGAGTTAAAAAATGTAAAAACCACTTCCTAAAAAGCTGGAAACAAATGAATCTAAATGTGTATCAAGCTGGTTGCACAAACTGCAACAATATGCACTCTTACTAAATATCCCTAATATGGTATATTCTAAGGACAGAAAAGAATGACTAAGAAATCTTAAACTTCATTTGGCAGTCTTGTTACTTACTAATATTAGCACTGTTATTTTGAAATTATTTCATGCATATTATGGAACAAAACAAACTATGGTAGTATTCTTAGAATCAAGATTTTTT